TCATCAACGTAAGACTTGTATACAAGGAACCTATAGGCTGCACTATTCTTGGCGGGACCAAGATATATACAATCTATGGTTTTCGGTCCAAGTTTTGTCTGTTTAGGCAAAGGGACTTGAACCTTGGCCAAGCAACCCCACACTTTCATTATTTTGAAGGTGGGAAACCTCCCTTTCCATAATTCATAAGGACATTTATTGTTATTTTTGTGAGCGATTCTATTTAATATCATGTTTGCAGTTAGGCATGCCTCGCCCCATAAGCTATGTGGTGCCCCTGAGGTTATCAACATTGAATTGATCATGTTCTTCAATGTTCGATTCTTCCTTTCAGCTACTCCATTTTGTTGAGGAGTATAAGGGGTCGTCGTTTAATGCACAATACCATGAGAGGAGCAAAATTCAGTAAAGTCATTTGACTCATACTCTCCTCCTCTATCAGATCTTAAGATTTTGATCCGTTTGTCGAGTTGATTCTCAACCTTGGCCTTGTATGTTTTAAACATATTCAGAGCCTCATCCTCGGTATTGATTAAATACACATAACAAAACTTACTGCAATCATCATTGAAAGATATGTAATAGTTTTTCCCTCCACGTGTTGGAGTTGCTTTGTAGTCGCACAAGTCACTATGTATTAGACCAAGTACTTCATTATTTTTCTCAACGGATTTATGTGGATGACTAGTGAACTTGGATTCTATGCATATTTCACACTTAGTCGTTTTGTTCATTATGGTAACATGCCAAGTTTTATCATTCTTTGTAAACAACGAAACTTGACATGCCCAAGTCGAGAGTGCCATAAGGTAGATGACTCAATCATGTACATAGAAGTCGAGCCAATGCTCATTTTTTATTGCTATTTACATTGTCATTATGTACAGTGTTCATTTTGAAGAGTCCCTCGGAGAGGTAACCCTTACCAACATACTGACCCCCTTTAGTAATTACAAACTTATCGGATTCAAACACAATATTGAATCCCTTATTACTTAACATAGGACCAGAAATTAAATTCTTCCTAATGTCAGGTACATGTAGCTCGTTTGTAAGAACGAGGTCTTTTTCAGAAGTGAGCTTCAGAATCACTTTTCCTTTGCCTTCTACCTTTGCCGTCGTCGCATTCCCCATAGACATCGGTTCTTCATCACTAACCTTTTGGTATGTAGCAAATGAGATTTTGCTATTACAGATGTGTCTAGTGGCTCCGGTATCAAGCCACCAATCGATAGTGTTGGTCACCAAATTTGCTTCCACCACGCCGATGAATTGAGTTTCAGAATCAGCCATATTGGCTTGGTGAGACGGTCCAGCACCTCCGCCACCATTTCCACCACTACCACCATGATCTCTCTTGTGTCTACAGTCTTTTGCCCTATAACCGGGCTTACCACATACCCAACAAATTAGGATGTGCAGCTTTTTGAAGTTTTTTTTCTATGGGGCAAGAGAGTTTTTAAATGATGGTTTAAGGGAAAAGCCTTTGCCCTTAAATTTCTGAAACTTCCCCTTAGAGTTACTTACAGCCATCATATTTGCATTTGGCTCTAAGGAACTAGCATCGGCCTTTTAAGACAACCTGTTATCCTCATCAACTCGGAGTTTGAGGAAAAGTTGTTCAAAGCTCATATCATCAGTTAAATGTTTCAGGTATAATTTGAAGTTCTTCCATGACGGAGGTAACTTCTCAATTATAGACCCTACCAAAAAGTTAGAGTTGATGCCCATACCTTCCACTTCCAATTCGTGAGTGATGACTTGGAGTTCCTCAACTTGTTTGACGATTGATTTAGTGTCAATCATTTTGTAGTGTAGGAATTTTCCTACCACAAATCATTTGGAACAAGCAACTTCGGTTTTATACTTACGCTCTAATGATTCCCACATCTCTCTTGCAGTTTCGAAAGTTGAATAGATATCATATATGGAATCATCAAGAGCGTTTAGAATATAATTTCTACAATTATATTTGTTGCTCTTCCAAGTTTCCACTGCTTTCTCAAATTGTTTCATTTGAGCGGCGGTAGGAACATTTTGTCCAAGACTCACGGGTGGATTACGGGTTACATGGTAGTTATCCGAAAACCAATGGTGGTTATCTGATGATCTTTACCAATGATCTTTACCTGGATTGTGTGAATAACAACTAAGTATACTCACTGAGTATGCTAGATCGGGTTACATGGTGGTTATCCGAAAACCGATTACGAACAGTTACGACTGTCCGTAACACCGGTTCGGCCACTGTCGGTGAAGAGACCCGAGACCCCAAGGCCCTATCTTTGACCATTAATGTATATACCAAGCACCAAGCTTGATACATGGGTCTTGGTTCAAGTTTGATAAGGCTTATGGAATTAGCCTTATAAACCTCTCCAATTTTCCCTCTCCTTCCTATGTGGGATCAATTCCCTTGTTAAAATCCCAACAATACCCCACATTTTCTATTCAAATACTAATAATACCCCACATTTGAATAGAAAATAAGCAATACAAAGGACATATTGTTATATTCCATGAAGTAAGATATGACATACATTTGAAAAGGTGTCGTTTGGACTTGAACCTTTCATAGTGAGTACAAATTGGATCCACTTTRTGGGTAGTGAACAATGTCTTGAACTAACCACTTTRTTTAGTAAATCTAGACAACAAGTATCACATACATCATATCTATCACATAGTGTAACTCTTACGGTTGTGTTCATTTCGGTCTTGAACGTATCCTTTCTTCATGAGATTCTTAGAGAATGTAGCCATCTCCGTCCTCATAGATGTGACCAAACATCAATCTCACATAGGTAATGCCAATCAAGAACATTCCGTATTGTCCCACTGTCAAAGCTATTAGCATTATTAAGAAGTACTATTCAACCCTTAATCGTCAACGGAAACACACAAAAATATCATAGGAATGAGCATACCTGTGTGTTAGATTGCGTCTTGAGTTTTCCCAAACTTGTTTGCCTATTGAACCTAGACCATGGGATCTCCAATGTTGCTAGGTTAGGTTTCCGCCAGGTTATAACTCATTGAATTGGTTTTAAGCCCATTCCCCTCGATGTGTATATGATTTGCTCTCTATTTAGCCCTTTCGTCAAAGGATCGGCTATGTTTTCCTTTGACTTTATATAATCAATGGATATGATTCCATTCTTTAGCAAATCACGTATAGTGTTGTGATGACGCCTTATATGTCCTGATTTACCATTGTATATCTGATTCTTTGCTCTTGTTAGAGCGGCCATATTGTCACAATGTATACAAATAACAGTGACAGGCTTCGATCACAATGGCATACCTTCTAGGAAGCTTTTAAGCCATTCAGCTTCTTCTGCTGCTTTGTTTAAAGCCACAAATTCTACTTCCATTGTTGAGCGTGTATTTACTGTTTGTTTTGATGATTTCCACGATACTGCTGCTCCACCAAGTGTAAAGACATACCCACTTGTGGACTTACTTTCTGAACTGTTGGAAATCCAATTGGCGTCACAATAACCTTCCAGAACAGGAGGATATTTTGTATAGTTCAACCCATAATTCATAGTGTGTTTGAGATATCGGAGCACTCTCACTAGTGCAAACCAATGATCTTTACCTGGATTGTGTGAAGAGCGACTAAGTCTACTCACTGAGTATGCTAGATCAGGTTACATAGTGGTTATCCGAAAACTGATTACGAACAGTTATGGATGTTCGTAACACCGGTTCGGCCACTGTCGGGAAAGAGACCCGAGACCCCAAGAGGCCCAAGGCCCTATCTTTGACCATTAATGTATATACCAAGCACCAAGCTTGATACATAGGTCTTGGTTCAAGTTTGATAAGGCTTATGGAATTAGCCTTATAAACCTCTCCAATTTTCCCTCTCCTTCCTATGTGGGATCAATTCCTTTGTTAAAATCCCAACAAGGAACTCATGGTAACCGATTAAAGACACATATTTTACCCGGTTAAATAGCAATCAAGTAAGATTACATAATCTTATATACCCGGTTGTTTTAATGTAACCTGAAAGATTACTTCATCAAGGCTCCCACCCGTCAAATATGATCAATTAATCTTATTAGTTTGATAAATAAGAACAAGGTAAGATTGCATATTTCTTACCCAAGGGCATTTGGCCTAGCGGTATCGTAGCCCTTGGCCTTCTAGGAGTAAGGGGTTCAAACCTCACCATAGGTGAGGAGAGTGTGTGAGTTTATTTGTTACATTTGCCGTATATAAATATTATATACTTCAAAAAAAAAGGATTGCATATTTCTTATATGGTTCTTTGTTAACATCTGAGTGTTGAAAGATAAGCCAAACATTCCGTTACTTCTGTTTGTTAACCAGTTTGGCAGTTGACCGTTGGTGACCGTTAACGGCAGTTACTCCTCCCACCAAAATCTCCTTTTCAGCCGTTGTGTCTGTTTGTATCTTTAGTTGTGTTGTTTGGGATTGTATTTAAACTTTCTGTCTTTTTCCTTTTTGTTTGTACGATGTATCAAGACATCTTTCTGTTAATCAATATATATATATATATATATGTTTGTGTAAGTCAAGTGTTTGGTGTTTCATTTTTTTTTTGTATATCCAACCTATGGTATCTGAGCCATAATTGTATGGCTTCAAGTTCTCAAAACATGTTACAAACACAAGCACAAACTCAGTTACCCAAATTTAATGGAAGAAATTATTTCCATTGGAGTATTCAGATGAAGGTGATGTTCGAGTCTCAAGACTTATGGTCGATTATTCAAGGAGTTGTAGTATCAGAAAATCCCATTGTCCTCACGGTTCAACAAACAAACGCCCTTAACGAAGCAAAAAGGAAACACAGAAGAGCCTTGTTTTTGATCTTCCAGACAGTGGATGAAAACATATTTGAAAGAATTTCATCCTCTCAATCTGCTAAATAAGCATGGGAGTTGCTGTTTAAATCATATAGAGGAGAAGAAAAAGTCAAGGTTGTTAGACTTTAGACTCTAAGGTGTGAATTTGACAACCTTAAAATGAAAGAAACTGAAACTGTAGAAGAATACTACACTAGGGTGATTATCCTGATCAATCAAATGAGACTGAATGGTGAAAGCATTTCTGACAGAAGGGTGGTTGAAAAGGTCTTGCGAAGTCTTACCAGGAAATTTGGATATGTTGTTGTTGCCATAGAAGAGTCTAAAGATCTCTCAAATTTCTCTTTGGAAACTCTTCTAGGGACACTTCAATTACACAAACTTCACATGAGACAATTTGATACACCTGTGATGGAACATGTTTTTCAAACTCATTCAACATGGGAGTCAAATACAAGTGAGAAACAAAAAGGACTAGACTACAGTAAGGATGAACAAGGATCTGGTTACACAAGGAGCAAAGGCAGAGGTAAGCCCTTCTCTCAAATGAAAAGTTTTTATTATGATAAAGTAGGACACACTATTAAATTCTGTAGAAAGAGAATAGCAGAAGAGAATAAAGTCTCTAGTTTTATACATAAAGAAGAAAGTCATAATGATGACTCCATGTTCATGATGTTAAGTGTTCAAGAAAAGACTGCATGTGATCTATGGTACCTTGACAACGGATGTAGTAATCACATGACTAGAAACAAGGAATTATTCCTAAATTTAGAAGAATCAGAAAGGAATGATGTGAGATCATGTGATGATAAGAAATTAAGTGTATGTGGGTGTGGTGAGATTTTTATCAAACTTAGAGATAAAGATAAAAGGATATCTAATGTCTTCTATGTTCCTGGCCGGAAACATAACTTTCTTAGTGTGGGTTTGCTTATACTCAAAGGGTATAGACTTCTATTTAGAAATGAGTATTGTGAAATCACAAATTTCAACAACTCACTCATTGGAAAAGCTTACATGACACATAATAAAATGTTCCCCATCAAGTTCAATGATGAGAACTTTCTTTCCCTAACCATGAGCACTATGGATTCATCACTTTTATGGCATAATAGGTTTGGCCATGCCAACCTTAACGCTCTGTCATACATGCACAAAAAAGGTCTGGTGAAGGGATTGCCATCAGTCATAAATCTTGATCATGTATGTGAAGGTTGTGCACTTGGTAAGCACACAAGAGATTCATTTCCTCAAGATAAGGCTTAGAGAGCCTCAAAATAGTTAGAGTTAGTCCACACAGATATTTGTGGACCAATGAGGACTGCTTCCTTTGGAGGAAGTAGATACTTCCTAACGTTTATAGATGATTTCAGCAGAAGAGTCTGGGTGTACTTTATTAAGGAAAAAGCAGAAGCCTTTAATCATTTTGTTCACTTCAAAACCATGGTAGAGAAGCAAAGTGAAGACAAAATTAAGAACTTAAGGTCAGACCGTGGGGGGAATATATAGGAGTTGAATTTGAGGATTATTTGAAGAGTCATGGCATTCATCACCAACTCACAACCAGCTATACACCCCAATAAAATGGGGTGGCAGAGAGGAAAAACAGAACACTAGTAGAAATGGCAAGATGCATGCTCAAAAACAAAAATCTACCTGATGTCTTTTGGGCAGAGGCAATTGCTTGTGCTGTCTATCTTATTAACAGATCTCTCACTAAAAGCCTTATAGATAAGACTCCACAAGAAGCCTGGAATGGATTCAAGCCAAGTGTAAGCCATCTAAGAACTTTTGGATGTGTGGCTTATGCTTACATACCAAAACAGAAGAGGCAAAAATTAGATGAAAAATCAGAGAAAGCAGTATTTATGGGATACAGCTACAATGCCAAGGCTTATAAACTATATAATCCTTTAACCAAAAAGGTTTATCACCAGTAGAGATGTTTTCTTCGATGAGAATAAGTCCTGGATTGGTCTAACTTGTGATGAGAATGGGACATGTATCTTAAATGAGAACACCATTGATCAAGACATCCCTGATATGCCTCTTGATCAAAATGATCCTGCCACTCTAGAAGGAATATCCTCTACTAGTGCCTCCCTTGATCAACCATCACCTAACATTGGAGATACTGACTCTGGAAGCTCATCCTCATCAAACAATCCTAACAGAAAGACCAGAAGCCTTAGAGATCTTTATGACAACACACGACATGTTAATATTGGTGACTTGGCAGGTTTTGATCTATTTGCAGATTCTGATCCTTTGCATTATGAAGAGGCTTGTTTGGACAAGAAATGGAGGGATGCCATGGATAGAGAAATGGATTCAATTATGAAGAACAACACCTGGGAATTGATTGATCTACCAAAAGGACAAAAGTCTATAGGAGTTAGATGGATATAAAAGACAAAGTTCAATGAAAGAGGAGAAGTGGATAAACATAAGACAAGGCTTGTGGTGAAAGGGTACAAACAGCAGTTTGGAATCAACTACCAAGGTATTTGCTCCTGTCATTAGACTTGAAACCATACGTCTAATCCTAGCTATTGCTGCTCAAGTCAACAGGTTTGTACATCAAATGGATGTCAAATCAGCTTTTCTAAATGGTTACTTAAAAGAGAATGTTTATGTGGATCAACCTAGTGTCTATAAAAGAAAATGAGAGGAACATAAAGTATGCCATCTTAAAAAGGCACTCTATGGTTTGAAACAGGCCCCTAGGGCCTGGTATAGCCGAATTAAAGGCCACTTTCTTGATCAAGGTTTCAAGAAATGCAACTATGAACACACACTGTGTATCAAGAAGGAAGGCAACACCATTCTTATAGTCTGCATATATGTGGATGATCTAGTATTCATAGGAAACTCCTTAGAAAAGATAAATGAATTTAAGGATTCAATGAAAGAAAACTTTGAGATGACATATTTGGGACTATCACACTATTTCTTGGGGATAGAAGCTACTCAAGGTGCACATTGCATTACTATTTCTCATAAGAAGTATGCCAGAGACTTATTGCAAAGATTCAATATGGAAGATTGCATTTCTGCTGCAACACCCATGGAGTTTGGTCTTAAGCTTTCAAAAGAAGAGAATGGGAAGGAAGTGGATTCAACCGTCTATCGCAGCTTTGTGGGATGCCTTATGTATCTCACTGCATCTAGGCCTGATATCATGTTACCTGTGACCCTTGTCAGTAGATTTATGGAACATCCTAAAAAACAACATTTGGAAGCAGCTAGGCGTATCCTAAGGCATGTAAAAGGCACATTGGACCATGGTATTACCTACTCTTTTTCTCATGATTTCAAGCTAATAGGGTATAGTGATAGTGACTATGGAGGGGATATTGTGGATAGTAGGAGTACCGCAGGTTATGTCTTCAGCCTAGGTTCAGGAGTTATTTCATGGCAGTCCAAGAAACAAAAAGTAGTGGCCCTATCCTCCACAGAAGCTGAGTATATGGCACTCTCTTCAAAAGGGTGCCAAACACTTTGGCTTAGAGGCATACTACAAGAATTGGGGATTTCACAAAGTACTTGTACACAAATCTTTTGTGTAACAAGTCTTCTATAGCTTTGACCAGAAACCCAATATATCATGGAAAAAGCAAACATATTAGGATCAAGTTCCACTTCATTAGGGAACTTATTCTCAGCAATGAGGTGAATGTTTTGTTTTGCAATATGAGGGATCCATTAGCTGATATCTTTACAAAGTCACTTCAGGGAGGAAGTTTTGAAAAATTAACATAAGAATTTGGGGATTCACGATGTTTAGCTTATAAGGGGATGTTTAAAGATAAACCAAACATTTCGTTACTTCTGTTTGTTAACCAGTTTGGCAGTTGACTGTTGGTGACCGTTAACCGCAGTTACTCTTCCCGACAAAATCTATTTTTCAACCATTGTGTCTGTTCGTATCTTTAGTTGCGTCGTTTGGGATTGTATTTAAACTTTTTGTCTGTTCCCTTTCTGTTTGTACGATGTATCAAGACATCTTTCTGTTAATCAGTATATATCTGTTTGTGTAAGTCAAGTGTTTGGTGTTTCATTCTTTTTGTATATCCAACACTGAGTAAGATTTATATATTTTTTTTAACAAAGTACATACTCAGAAGAAATATTCATAAAGCTAGGTGCTTTCTACAATTGCTAAGGGGTTGTTCGGTAATGTCTAAATGAACTTATATTATATATCATTTATTAATTAAGCCAATGGCTTAATTGGTCAGCCGAAAAAAGTCATATGGATTTAGCGATTTACCCAGTATAATACCCCGTATTTGGTAAATCTAATCTCTTGATCGAGAACCAATTTTGTTCAAGTGTGAAAATGTGCTTTAATGTTTTATATCTTAGTCTTTAAGAGCCGTTTATTAGGCCTAGTTATTTTCATAAAATTCATTTGAGTTCTAAGTTGGTTAGAACAATCTTGGTTAGGACCAAAATTGTAAAGGAAATTGCCAAAGCATGATTATATTGCTAATAAGCTTAAGATCGAGGGTTAGATAGTAAATATTGTAAATATATATAGGAAATTGTTATTTTTTTAAAAACAAAATCAGACTTCTTCCTCTCTCTAACTCTAAGATCTCTCCTACCTCTCTCTAAAAAATTCTCCATCTCATCTCTATAAACCTAGGGATTTCTTGTTAAATCTTTGAGTTTTTTGAAGAATTGATGTTATAATTGGAATTAGGAACTCAAGATAAGGTATGTTTATAGTTTATTTTTCTGATTTCTTATTCTTTAGGGCAATGGTTAAACCCTAAGTTGATTCATGATTCATAGGTTAAAAATTGAAGATTGATGRAATTTCTTCAAGTTGGTGCTGTTAGAGGAGGCAGATTCGTTTCGGTAAGTTTGAAAATTCATATAAAATCAACCGTTTGTCCGATTGATGCGTTCTTTATATCTTTAGAAAGTTGTTTGAGTTATCTACTACTTTTTAGTTTACTAAGAAACCTAATTGGAAACATACATGCTTGAAATCTTCGATTTTCCAGACCCTGTCTGCAGCCACTCGAAATTGCACTCTGTTTGTATAAATTCTGTATAAAATAGACCAGAACTTCAAATTATGTGAATCTAGTTGGTATGAAATCCTAAGAGGTATATGTACAACTTTCATTTTTATAAGAAAGTTTGGTTCAGCCTCTAAGTGTGAGAAAAAGGCTTAAACTTTTAGTGTACATAACTTGTTAGCTTCTGTTTGGATTGTGTAAATTTGATTTTAGCAAATGTTGTCTTTAGTCCTAGGCATTGTGTTATATGTTTACTAAGTGTCCTAGTGGTATGTTAAGCATGCTTGACGGTCCATAAGTTCTATGAAAGGTAATAGCTTGTAGGAACTTGAAGTTGATGAGAAGTGTTATCGAAAATGGTCTAAAAGCCGTTTTTCTGATAAGTGTAGATAATCTGAAAGGAGGGAATCATTCATAAGCCTCGAATTTTGTTTTATCATATTTAAAACACTTTCAAGGTACGAATGTCTACTTTCTTTTGATATATGGGTAATCAATTGTGGTGATTATCCATTCTATGAAATCTTAATCATGACACATGTCCACAAAAGGGGAGATGATCAAATTGGTATATGAAATTCCTTTATGTGAWATATGATGTTTTGGTTTATAAATTTTGTGTACCTGATAAATCTAAACCATTAYCGGTACGTTTTAAGACTCATGATCGATTTTATATAAATTGGAACCTCAATGGTTTTATTAGACTTATTATCAAATGTTTGGTTCTTGATTTGGTTATTTGAGTTTGAGTTTATTGACTTAACTTTGAATAGGCTCAATACTCAGGGCATGGGTGTTGAGACGCCCCCATGATGGCTAAAATAGTCATGGCATTCTCATAAAGGCTACGACCAAGCCAAATAGAGAATGTTGGATGCATCCTATGAACCAAATACCGGATAGAACCGAATACCGGATAGAACCGAATACCGGATAGAGCCGAATACCAATTATATTGGTTACTGGATAGAGCCGAATACCAGATACCTCTGTTTACAGGGGAATGTGATGGTGTAGTGCCCGACACTTCCATTCCATTACGACGCCTGATTAGACTGATCATCCATCGGGAACAACGTATCCTAATAATACGGATGATCTTCTTACCTTGAATTTTTTTTTATTATATAACTTTCAAATTTTAGAGATTTACACTTAAATTGATTTCACTTGTATCGTAATGTTTCCTTTCAGTTATTTATTCATATTTGATATTCTTCTGCTATTATTCGTTCACTGAGCAATTTTTGCTCACTCGAGGTTTGTTTTGTTTTACCTCGACAGGTTCAGGATCTAACTTAGGGGCAGGATGAAGGGTCGAGATGGCTTAGGATTCTAGAAGACTAGCGGTTGAATATAATGTTTTTGCTATGTTATTAGGTGATTATGTTAGTGCTATGTAATATAATAATTGTAATGCTTTTTTTTGGAGTTCCATTAGAGCTCTGTACTATAAATGGTAGACTTTTGATCCGTTTTCGGTTGTGACATGTCTCATCTTAAGTTTAGTAGGATGGGGTGTTACACCCAGCCCTTTATTCCATATTTGCTCTCCTCGCTTTTCAAGTCTTGCCTTTTGTTCTATGTTTATTCTACCCATGTAGCTTCTTGTATATGTATTCATGTATGTGTACATATAGACTTAGGATCACATATGGAAAAGAAACTTTGGTGAGAAGTTGTGAAAGTAGCTCTATGTTGTCATCGCAGCAAAACTGGGTTTATAGGATGCAACTAATTTCTAAGCGTTCTAATAAACCACTCCATAGGACTTAATTTATAAGATTAAAAATTAAAGCATCATATCTAAATATCATGAGCCTTTTACCAATGAGCTGAAGATTATTTTGTTTATATGTATCTAGATTTCGCTTTTAATACTTCGCTCCCTATTCCCCATTTTTTTCACTTCCGATTAATATCTAAAGTTCATTTTTGTCGTGTTTTTACAACAATAATTTTTTTAAAATAAAATTACTAGCACAATTAATATTTACATAAGTTATTATTTTAAGAAGGCCCTATAATAATACTTGAAAACTTATTATTTTCGTTATGTGTATAATTTCGTCAAACATGTTTATTCAAGAAATTGGGTGTGTAGTTTTTCTCGGTAAAGGCGCATCTCATCATCACCAAAATCCCATTTTTATATCATATTTCACATAATTTCACTACAATTCTACACCAACTGATGTTGGTGAAATATACATCAAATTTAGTATTTAATATTTATGCAAGTTTGATGTTTATATAATTTAGTTTATTTGATTACGAATGCTATTTTAGTTAAACTATTTAATAATATTATATAATAAATTATACTTATATTAGTTCATATATATGATATAAATGTATAATAATAATAAAACATAAAAATTGACAAAGACACACACATATGTGTGTGTATTATGATTCAAGAAAAAAAAATACATAACCAAAGATGAAATTTGACTAACATATAATAGAAATTTAGTTGTCTGTATTTTGTTTGTTCAAATGTGTTATAAAATTATTATAACAAATTATGCGTAGAATTTGTATAAACTAATAAAAGTAAGGATATTATTGAAAAGATATATAAGTTAAGAATATAAAATATATTTTTTATAATTTATTTGATGCAAAAGTTAATTTAATGCGTCACTTAAATTAAATTACTACAGTTTACACAAAGTTTTACACCATTTTGTTGGAAAAAATTGTGCAAATGATTGGATATGGACTAACACCATTTGAACAGTCTTACAAACCCTAAAATGGACTAAAAATCCGATGCGGCATGTTTTAATGTTTTTGCTCAGGACATCAAAAAGCTTTGGGTCGGCCCTACTATGCGTCCTAATAAACTACTTTATATGACTTAATTTATAGGACCAAAAATTAAATCATTCTATCTAAATACGTTGTAATAAGTTTATAGGACACGTTTAAGCATCTTAACAACGTTTTTAGAACATTTTTATTACAGAGCACCGCATTAACATTTTTATATAGCACTTTTGAAAAAATGTCCTATAAACTCATTTTTATAGGACACTTTTTTTATAGAACATTTTTTCAATTAGTGTCCTATAATATTGGTAATTGGACGTTTTGTATTAAAAGTGTCCTAAAAAATTTGTTAAGATGCTCAAAAGTGTCCTATAAACTTATTATTACGTTTTTAAATAGGAGACTTCATTTTTTGGTCCTATAAATAAGTCTTATAAGACGGTCTATTAGGACGTTAAAACGTCCTGCAAACCCGATTTTCTTGTAGTGTGTGTGAATGTTACGTTATATTTTGTGAAAGCGGTGAAGGTGACAGGATCTGAATGCGTACCTTCACCAGTTTCTTTAAAAAAGTAGTTAGCTTTACACGATTTCACACAATACTAGGGTATCTTCACTTATATTATGTGAAGGTTACATTTTTCATACTTCTCATGAATATGGCATTTCTCATCAGAACACCAATCTTAGACTGGGGATCAATAGAGAAAAAAGATTTTTGGTGAGAAAAGTAAGAAATCCTGAAGAGTACCGTTATATTGTGTGAATTTAG